TCTTTCCCTTTTTGTTGTTTTTTTTTGTGTCGTTTCTACACAAGCTGAAATACCATTAAATGTCTGACAGAGGATTAAAACATAACCTGTCAGATTTTGTGTTTTCCAGCTTGTTCTGTGTGAAGAAGCACAAGGAAGCCTCAGGATGCAGTGGGGTCAGAGATAAAACTGCCTTTGTGACCCTCTCACAGTTTGATGAAATGACACTTCTAAGTGGTGAGCACCTTCTTTACTCCTTCCTGTGACTGTTGAACTACAAACAGCAGTAATAGTTTTTTGTTGAAGTAAATGTTGTCAGCATGTGTGTATTTCTTTGCATAGAAATGAGCTCATACACAGGTAATTTTAGGGTATTAATCTGTGGTAATAATATATGTGCTACTCTTTTACTTTGACGCATGTAAATTGTTTGTTGTTACAGACTACAGGTTTCTGGAGGATACAGGGCGATTTGCCGATAGTGCCAGCAGAGGCAATCTTATCCAGGCTCCTCGTGCCACCTTCAAAGTAAGTCTCTGATTCACAGGTTAAATCATTTGTTGCCAGATGTTATTTAAGAATAAACTAGTCTGGATCCAAGTTTTATATCCTTCAAGAATGTTTCTACAAAGTAGAAATGTGTGTCTACATACCATTCCGACAGCATTAGGTAAGGTTTTCTAAAATTAGTTTTATTTTGTTCAAATAATGAAAACACATGTATGTTTTTGAAATTCAGTGTAAATTATTTGGGTATTAAACAACTAAAACCAGATGCTCCTCTCTACATTTTTGCCACTACTGCTCATATGTTAGCTTTGAAATAGTTCAGCCAAGACTGTTCTCCTGAGTGCTGACAAACTTATCTTGGCCCAAATCCTAGTTAAATTTAAAGTTTACACAGGGTAAGATTTAAAGCTTCACAACAACGTGTTGAGATTTTCATAACCCAGAGTGAGAACCAGCTAAATGCAACAAGACCAAAACTGAAGCAGGAAGCAACAGCTAAAAGTTCAAATCAAATGATAAAAGCAGCCCGAAACTACCCTATTATACACACACTCCTTAAAATAATATTATTTGATCACACTAAAATACAGACAAAGGAAAAACCTGAATAAAAAGGTGGAGAAACATAACGAATGCAGATGCTGGCACTTGTCCCTTTAGTGGGAAGAGTCACTGCAAATCACTACAAAGTTTTTCAGAGTGATCACCTTTATCTATGAAGAAACATTTCTCTCCTGATGGGAGTGGTCTCCTAAGATGACGGTGTACTAATCCATAGAACATGAGGGGTCACTGAATGAAAATGATGTGAATCGTATGCAGTGGTCTTCACAGTCACCTGGTCTCAGCCCAGGGAGATTTTGGAGCAACGTGTCAAGCCACATTTAGACTTGTGCATTATTATTACACATATGGGAACATGTGCATCTGTCATTTGGAGGTGGTTGTATAGTTGTTGCATTTATACTGGTTCGAACATTAACATTCTAATTAGGGAGTGCTCGAACAGCAAAGTACAGAAAAGAAGAAGTCAGGAAATGGAAATGGTAGAGATTTTGAGCCAGGCTGTTGTAATTTTTGTCCAGGGACAGGTATTATGTCACTTTATTGAGTGTTGATATTTTTTAGGTGAGGAAGTAACTATTTAGGTCAGTCTGGCCAAGTGGTGCCAATCTGCTCCGATGTTTTCTGAGATGTGAGAACCTGCTGTCGGACCAATAGCAAGAAGCTGTGTCTCGATCAGAGCAATGTCGGATCAACCAGTCTGCGTGTAGGACATGCAGCTCTGCACCACACGTAGTTGAGATTTGGGGGGTGTGCACATCAGCGACCCACGTTTACCCATAAATGGTTGCTAAATGCTGGCCCAAAACATCAAGCTAACATCTTTATTGAGGCAGTTAATTTGTGTGATTGTCTTTAGTACAGCTGCTTTTCAGAACCACCCTGAAAATGTAAGAGATGCATATTCCTAGACATGTGATCTGTTAAAAGTCCAAACAATAAATGTGAGTAGTTTTCTTCACAACAGTAGACACAGCATCCTCTACACGCTTTTATTTTTGTATTTTTCACTTGTATAATTTGTGGTTGCAGTAATGCAATGCTGACTGTGGTTTCCCAAACCACAGACATTAATTTATGTAAGATTCAGTGACCTTGCCAGCTTTCACCTGTACTGTTACCACAACACTTATTTGATGGCTTGGAGTAATGCATGCACTTTTATGGGATTTTTGGAGGCAGACTGCCTCAGTGGTCACAAATTAATCAAAATAATGACACTTATTCTCAATGAGAGATAAAGGCTTGCAAAATGATGAGCTCTGGGATTTGGTTTTCCTCTGGAACAGCACAAGAATATTAATCTTTTATTAGCTTTGTACAGCCCTAGATTTTAATAAATCTCTTTTAGTGTCTCTCTCTACCCCTCAATCTAGAATCAGGAAGAGTTACAGGCATGCCGGAAAGGAAAGGTTTGTCCCTTCAAACTTAGATGAGGACAGTAAGGAGAGGTTTAGGTCAGCTTTAGTTTAATTACTGTATTAATAAAACCTGCATAGTTGGGTTTCTTCATACTGAACAGATGTTTAGTATTTAAACATGTGTCTTTAAAGAACAAACGACTTTTCCACTGAACTGAAATGTCAGCTAGTCTGTGGTCCCAGCAAATCTTCCCAAGTGAAAATAGTTATATCCTAATTCACTGCACAGTTGTTAGGTCTGACATTTGATTCTTTGAGGTTTTTATTAAATGTGTGCTGGTTGTTCGATTGTACTGTTTGATTTTATGAATCCTGTTGTGTTGTGGGCCTTTATCAAAAATTCATAATCAAGCTGTACATATACCAGCATTGCTATTTAACACTGTCATATACAAAATATGTCCTTATAATGAATTATTAGTTTGGTTATCAATTAATCTGATTATTCTGTTTTTGAATCACTGTCTTTCAAACTCTTTAGTTTATAAAATGTTAGAAAATAGTAAAAATGTCTAAAGCCCAATTGGATATTTTCAAAAAAGTTTTTCGTCTGTTCAAATCCTACAGGTTACCCCAAAAGCTTCTAAGTGCACAACATATTGTTGAGATTTTCATAACGTCATCTCTTTACCCAGAGCGAGAACAGGCAGATGCAACAAGGCCTAAACTAAACTAGAGAGCAAAGTCTAAATGTTGCAAATCAAACGTTGATAGTAGGCTAAAACTACCCCATTCTGAATTAATTAGACATAAAGTAAAGGTTATCACAAGTGACTTAAATGATGAATAGGGCTGTGATGTCACATGTGGCTCACAAGACAATATTTTAACACTATTTTAAGGAATTTTCGATGATGAAATATATCACTGGAAAAGTGGTCTTTTTATTCGACTGAGTCACAAAATGCAGAACAATGCAGATGTATTTTGAAATGTTTTAACTACTGAATACCAATTCAATTCTACTTTCTGAGTATGAATTATCGCATGCAATAAAAGACAGTTTGCAAGCACTGTAAACGGTTTTGCCACGAACTCAGCCGACTTTTGTGAATTATTTAATAAATCGCTTCATTTTAGCTATTATACTGCATTACTATACTGTACTATTTTTATTTCTCCGTTGTCCAGGCCAAGAGGCTGGCCGCCAATGCCAGAAAGATGAACATCACATTGAGGTTCCTCCCTGTCACCTTCACTAAGAACAGAGAAAACTCCACCTTCTTCCTCGCCAAGTAAGAACACAGTTGTTCACATACTGATGGTGCAGTGGCTTCAGAAAGTACTGAAACCTAGTCACTTTTTTCACACGATTTTGTTGTAGATTAAACATGAGAGAATCAAAGACAACACTTTCACGTTTTCTAAAATGAGCTTCTGATTAGATGTTTTTCTTTACCACAGGATGGCACTCTTGTTAAGCCCTAACACCAGTTGCATTTGAGTGCCAGCTCTCTCCTCAAGTTATCTCCAGGCAGTTCTGTGTAATGATGAAATGTACATCTGCCCGTGTATAAAATATGCAAATATAAGTTACCTGAGGCAGTTGAGGCATCTTTGACAGAATAGCAGAGCTGTCAAGTAAGAAGCAGGCATTGAATGGTAGAGTTTGCAATTTTGCACAACAACTCTCTGATGGTCTGGAGGGGACCCTTCCCACCTGGTGAGTTGTAGCCATTCTGTTGGACCTTGTCAAATGTCTGCATTGTTGGTATCTTTACATCACACAGACACATGCACACTTCCACCTGAGGATCAGTGAAGCTGTTGCAGACAAGCCAGCACTGGGCAGCTTCTAAGGCGTCCCCTCCACTATGACAGTAGCCCAGTTAAAGGCTCATGTTTTAGGCTAAAGGCCCTTTCACACCAGATGCGAATTTAACGCGCAATTTATTCGCGCGTCAATCATATTTTTCGAACCAATAACTTGTGAATGATACATTGCACACCACTGACGTAATTTCGCGACGCGAAAAGCGACATTAATTTTTTTCCGCCTCCGGGTCGATTTTTCCAACTCGTCGCGGCGACAGCAGCACCTCTGACCAATCACAATGCAGCTTGTTGACACGTCAAATTCAACATGGCGGACCGCTTAATCCAATTTGTTTCAGCGAATTCAGTTATCTATGATAAAAA